CAATCGAGTACTTCAGTAATAATTCATTTAAACCGATTTATGTCAGGCAGATCGTGTTGGTAGCGCGACTTGGGGTTACAATTGCCGATCAAATTCTTCTCCACTCATTCAAAATGATTTTTTCTTTAAATTCCACCCGAAATTTCCCTGCCCATCGACAGAAATCACTCGCGACCATCAATTCCTTCCTCTCGACAGTAAAAAAATCCATAAATTACACAACTTCTTATGACAACTCGATCAATAATCATTAATCAATCGACAGTGAGATTTTAGTTCGTCATGATGTATCGTGCAATCGAGTTTCTTTTAATGTAACATATATATACCCCTCGGAATATCTCGTTATGGCTGATAGGAACGCCCGGAGTTAAAGCCAAAGCGCAAAAGCAACATGCCATATCGGAGACACCTGTTAGTGCTGGGCGGCAATCGCCTGGGTAGACTATAAACGCATCGTCAGTTCATATGAATTGGAATCGATGGGGGTAGAGTCATGCCAGGAATTAAAAGCGCGTTTGGTTTATTATAATGGTATTATGGCACGACTGCCGCTGGGTGAGCTCCATGGGTTTTATGGGGTTTTAAAAAAAAAAACCCAAGTTGGAGTACCGTGTACATTTCATATCGGTATGATCTACTGGGGATTCACCACAATTGGAAATGAATTTGTTATTAACCCACACGAGACCCACCGTATTATCCATTTTCGGAAAAACAACATCTTTCTACACATTATTTATCTCAGATCCATTAAATATTCATTCTCAAGTATTATATATTTTATATATTGAAATGCGCGTGGAGTTTATAAAAAATTCGGAAAAGTTTTCCAGAAATTTTTTGAAAATTTGGAAAAAATATTCAGATTACAATTTTTTTTTTACCCGATCAATTCCGGAAGCCCAAAGAGGTGCGCTAACTGTAACAATATTAATCCATCTTTCTGAATAATTAAATGCAAAATATAGAATAGATAAATATTTCATTGTGCAAGGGAACTCGTGGAAATTTTTTTATGATATCTCCTTCGAAGGAGCATGAATTGCTCAACCGAATGATATATCTGTGTAAAAGCATTATGACGTTGAAAAACAATCCATAATTATATTTGAAATTCAGTGATGGTTGAAAGGTGGATAAATGCATATGACAAAAAAGTACAATGCGCGGAGTGGAACAGAAGCAAACGGTGACTCAAGAGAGCGGTCCTGGCATTCCATGCTTGCATTGCGATATAATATACGAGCGGTCAGGAAGCAGTCGGCTTTCCTCAACGACAAAGGCCTCCTTTTGCTAACTGATGACGAAAGGCCATTCGAATCCACGATAGGGTGGGAGGGAGGCTCTCTGCTGAGTGGGCCTGAAGGCCCTGGAAATAACCGCGGCATCATCTTTCTCCACCTGTCTTCCTCTCTCTCTGGGACACCGGGGGCATATTAGGCCGGTATTTGGCTTTTCGATCTCCGATTCCACCCCTCTCTCCTCTCGGGTTATATATTAAATAATCCCGGTGGTCAACCTCATCCCCTTTATCTTATTATTTTCATTCCCCTTCCGCCGCTTTATTCTTTTAAACCGTGTCCCTTTTGCGTCATCAGAATGTCATCACTACCGTATTCACGATTATTTACATCCGTGTATTAACTCGGTACAACTCGGAGAATCCGACGGGATTTTAATACGCAAGATATATGTTCAGTCATAACAGCCGCTCGATCCACGTGTATTTATATTTATGATTTACCGTAAATTTTATTTTATTTATTTATTTATTTTCATCCAGAGTTATCATTGGAATTTATATTTTTTGGTGATCTCTTTGTTGGTATAAGTTAATGGGATCGACAATTAATTCACCATAAATATATTTAGTTCCGTGTGGATTGTCCATTAACCAGAGCCATAATAATCCTTTTAAAAAAACCTCACCCAACCTCTTCATCATCTCGTCAATCTCCTCTCACATAACAGCCCAATAAAACCGCCATAATTAACGATATAAAATTGTGATTGCGTTCTTTTCACACGTCAACCTTAAAATTTACGTTCACTCGCGCTCATGCACCTTCCACCCTCCCTGGCCCCTCGGAAAAAAAAAAATCGAACCCAATGGTTTTTGCGCCGCACATCACCGCAGAGAAAGGGGATAAGTGATAGCATTGAGAGTTTGTGTACAACCGCGGGGACGAGTGTCGGGCAGGTAATAACTTTCAGGTTGGGGTGCGTTAAAAGGAATCGAGTGTCTCCTTCTTGTTCCCCGCGTTTAGCTGGGATAGTCTCTACGGAAACGAGGAAACGTCGAGAATTTCAACAGTTTGGTATCGCGATTCGCTCGTGGGGGACGTGGGGGGTGTATATTTTCTGCACCTACTGGAACAGTGAGAAGTGCCGCCTGCGCTTTCTTGTTTTCAATACACATAAGCAAGATATACATATAGGATGTATTTGCGGAGAGCTCCTTGAGTAAAAACCGATGGTCGCATAAATCTCTCAAGCTAGGGATCGAGGACGAGCGATCGAATCGATTCGTTACGGATGAGAGGGCCTTTTTCGCTAACACTGGCGTTAAATGTTGCACCGGTGAGCAACATCGGGTTTTCGATCAAACATCTCGCTGGAATAATTTCTCGTGACCATTTACGCGGTGTTTTTTCATTTTTTTCTTTCGAATCTCGATTAAAAAATACTCTCAATACGGAGTATAATTTTTCATTCGCAAAATACACTCGGGAATGATTTTTTATCATCATCACAGCAATCTTTGGAGATTACCGCAGCTCCCTGAATTTTTTCAATTTTTTTTCCCACCCCCAATGTCAAGTCTCCATAACTCCGGCCCGAGCATGAGTTCTGGAGTCTCCCCACCTCAGTAGCATTGCTCTCGCGGTCATATTCTGAATAGACTCTCCATCCAGTCTCGGCATGGAAAATCCTCTCGATTCACGTCGAATTGTGAGAGGGTGGGAGGGTGGTAGGGAGGTAGGAGGGCCGACAGTATGTGCGGCTAGGCTTTGGACGGCAATCAATAACTTTGAAAACACACCGACGTTTGGGGAAAACAAATTCAGCAAGTTGCTTGATTGGAAAAACCGTCCGGCCGCTGTAGCGACTCGCGTTTGAATGCATCCCGGGATCGTGTGATATACCTCCCATCCTCAAAACAACTAAAAAAAAAAAGCACTTCCATAGGTACGGCGTTCCTCTGCCCGTCCACACCTAAACCTGTGTTTGTCTCCGGTTCGACGAAAAGGGTGAGGGAGGGCCGAGAGGGCGACGAGGGCCGGGGGAGGACTCATGCGACCCGATGCCTGTATTTCGCGTGTCCGAGTGAGACAAAAATACAACAGAGATAAAATAGCGAGGGGGAGGAGAATGGCATTCGTCGGTTACTCTCTGTACCCAGGGATATTTTTCCCCTCCTCTCGTCCACCCTTTAGCCCACCCCCCAGCCCTCTTCATCACTATTCGGACGTGGGGATCCCTGTGCTTGCGTTTTACTTCCAATTTCAATTCAGACTGAGGGAAAACAATAACGGGTTGCTCTGGACATTGCCGAATACCCCGGGGTCGCACCATTTGATGGTGGCATTGTTGAGGATGTATTAATCGGGAGGATTTTGTTGCAGTGTTGAGGGCTTTTTGTTTCAATTTTCAAGGAATAAATGTTTCATTATTTTTCTCGCGTTTACAAAATCCCAATACAAATGGTAATAACGGTAGACCGATAATTGCAAATAATGATTTATTATTATATTTTTGTGGGACTACAGGTTTTATTATTATTATTTTTGAGATGTTAAGACAGTAGTGCGGTGGATTTTTTTTTTTCGCTCAAATCTGGAATGATTTTTATCAATTGATTTTGCCGCAATGTACGATAGCCCTTATCTCTCGATATTACCCCATAAACCGATTATTGTCCCATCTCGCACAACCATATATCGCGGTACCTCCTCAAGTATATGATTATGGTGTTGTTATAACCTCGGACACGGTGGGACATCGTAACACCCGAGGTTAATTTTACAACGGCCATTACGCACCTCCATTGTACACTCACTTCTCGATTTACTCGGCAATCAGTTTATTCAACCGATCATTTCCAGGAATGCTTTGCGAAGAAAAAGGGCATTCTCCAATTTCCAATATTACAAATAATCATTAAAATTCACCAGAAAATGGCCAAGGGGCTGACACCTCCCTTCAGCATGCCAATAAATTGCGAGGGGACGTAATCATTTGTTTATAATTTTGTTTATTTAAAAAAAACCACAAAAATTCCCAAAAAGTGGTTTAACTCAAAATTCCCCGCACTTTCTATCTTTGAAAAATCTTTAATTACGGTAATCAATAAATCTATGGAATATTTCATTAAAAAAAAAAGAAGGAAATGAAGGTAGAATTGAGGTCGCTCGTCGGTACTATTTCAAAGTCACTCCGTATCAGTGCTTACATCCCCGATTCCTTCTCCACCCACGATTCCTTCGTTTCTCCATCTCTATTCCACAATCTAGAGTCTAGATTCTAGACCGCTCCCCCTTTTTGCCCAGTAGCAACTCCCGTACAGCCGCATTTCGAATTTACGTTTTTCCCCATTGCGAAATGTCGAATTGAACTCAACCAACTGCAGATTACATTTATCCGAGGCCCCTGGAATACAATAAACATACACAGAGTTTCCTAGAATTCTGTAATAATTCTTTTTCCCGTAATTTTTTTTCTCCTTTTTATCCGCGTATTCATCATCAATGAGAGTCTTAAATTGTCGATACTTATCTATTCTGGCAATCTGAGACTATCGATCCAGCGTAGTAGCACAAGGCATAATATCACCGGCACACCCTCCAAGTCATTACCACAACGCGAGATATAATATTACGACGCGAAACGTTTATTAAGCTATCCCCTTACGGATATTCTATTTGCACCAGTGATTAATGTAATTACACGGTCAAATTTGATATTTTGAATGATTACGATAATCTTTACTATTTCAGATGGTGAAGGAATGGCGGTGATGGCGAGTGCTCCGAGTCGACGTTAATGGTGAGTAATGATATATTTTAATTTATTTAATCGTTTTGCGCTCTGAGATGTTTATGGATAACTATTAATTACCGGTATTTTAATTGCCGGTGAGGATCGAGTGGGTACAATGTTTTCACCCATATTAGTGCGTGTATAATTATTTTTCAAAATATTTATTAACGCGGGAGACCAGTAGATGATGCGTATTTAATGGATTATCTCGTTTGATTATTTTATGGCGGTTTTTACGGTTTTGTTAATTTCTGGAGAATTTATAGGGAATAACCTAGGAAATTATTAAATGATCGGTATTTATTTCGTAGAGGGAAAATTCGTTGTGCGTCCATTAGAAAATCATGGAAGGTTTATTTATTATTTGATAATATCGTGGAGTAAAATTTGGATGCATGAGGTCAGTTGCTAGACAACCGGTAGTTGTATGTAGCTCTTGCCAGCATCACAAACGTCGACGTACAAGCAATCTCACTAATGGCCCTTGCGTTGTCCCCTTTGCGGATCTTCAACGGCGTATCCTACCACCACATGGTGGCATGAATATTTATTCCTGCCGACCAGTTTGCTTCTATTAAAACTAATAAATTGCTGGAGAATCGTTCGGCCCATCGGTATCATCTCTTACCAGTGTTCCACGCCATTAATAATTTTTTATAATTCGCTTTCCCTCCCAACACCGCCATTGGATAATCAGAAATTATACATTTGGATTTTCGGTCGCGCAAATTAACCGGTATCATAATTTCAGGATGGTTAATTGGTCTGTGACCCATGGATTTTTCAATTCAGCCGATTCTCCCAATCTTCTCGGTTTTAAAATTATTTTCTCGTCACATCTGTGTCAATATTCGCAAGAACACCCGTAAATAAGTACCACCGAGTGTCTCCGGGGATTTTAAGAGGAAGGGCGTCACTATCTTCTTCAACCATCGATTTTATTTGGTTAATAAAACGATTAAGTAACCATTCCCTTTGCAGTCGCTTCTACCAAACACTTGTCGCCTTTTTGAGTATCCCAGTGCGAGGGGCTCTGGGCGTTGGACCAAAAATGTAATTTACATCCTTTTATGTCGTGAAATTGAAATATTTGGGGATTAATTTCGAGAGGTTTTTATTCGATGATAGGATTATGAGTCCCAGGGACTAGCCTCTTCAGGGTCTACTTCAAATTGTTTCGGGGGAATAAATGGCGTGAATTAATTTATTGGTCGATACGATTTCATTTATGATCGGCGAATCTTACTCGAAAATTGAAAAACCATTGTTTTTCACGGGAATGAAAAAAATTGACAAAGGGCCAAATGTTTCGTGTAATACACAAAAGACAATGAAACAAACGAAGCCATGGAGCTAATGACTGTACCCTGCAACAGTATATACCAGTGAATGGTTTTGCTGTCCGGTCAGCAACGGGGATGACGCGTGCACGTCGTAGATCTATATCGACTCTCCCTTTCGAGGCATCCACTGGGTTTAAACCATTGTCTGTCATATTGATTGGGTATGTGTGTTCGGTCCAACTACTCTTTGCTCAGCGTGTGTGTTTGTCAGTTCTGTCTCCGTTCAGGAAACGTTAACGCCACTCGGCAACGACATCCGCACACCGGCTATAGTCATGGCCCTCCAATCAATCGTTTTTTCAATTCTATAAATGGAACGTCAATCGAACTCCAGTGAAAATATTTTTCGACTGTCAGGAATTTTTGAGTCGCACCGAGAGAAATATTCAATAAAAATAACGTATTTTCCGGAATTTTTGTTGTTGAATAATTTTGCAGAAATTTTATAGTACGGGTGCAGGAAATTTGTTTCATTGGATAGGATTAAACAATTATTATATATCCACTCTCTAGATGCTATGAATTTTCATGCTCATCAGCTGAATTAACGTGACATTCTTGAACTGAATTTACTGGGATACTAGGATCATAGAATATTCTCATAAATTAAGTTTTAATGACGGGAAAAATATAATTGAATTTTCAGTGAATAATTACGATATAGTCACATAAATTTTCTTAATCATTCCCATGATCGGTAAGCGACCGGAAGTTTCGTAATTTTTATTGAATATTCCAGGGACATAACTCCGTGTATTCGAAGTTGATTTACTATTTAGAATCTGAAGGGATTGGTATGTTATAAATTTGATCACCCAAGTCGACATAAATCACTTGAAGAGAAAAATAGTTTAGCAACAATAAGGGTGGACTTAACCTCCTCATAACTACAATATATAGATGCATAATCTGGAAGAGAGGGGTGTGTTATTGAGTCACGTGGCGGGTACCGCCCCTGTTATGACAGGCGCATTGACTACAGCCATTTCCGCGTGTTATTCCTCATGAAAATCCAGTAGTCAACTTGCCAAAAGATTTATCGCGTCGACGCGTGCCTCTGAATCGTAGGGGGTCATATCAATACAATAATTGTTGTTATTTCTACTTTTCCCTTATCGGACCATTAGTCACCTTTCCGTGACACGATGTCTTCATTTGCAACGAGTCACTCTCTCCCCCTCATCGCGGTACGATATATTTTTCACATCCACTGCTATATATATCGATTTATACGGCTCGCGATGAGAATCGCTAATGAGCAATTACAATGATTGTAATCGATTGAATAAACAAGAAGTGGCAACTTGTTTCCTCGGGTATGATACGCATGTATTTTAATCGTATGGCGTTGTACCAAAGTCCGGTGTCAATTGTATATTTTGGGTTGGATTTTACGATGGGTCGTAGCTCTTCGTAAATAATGCTAATTGAAATGAATGACTTGAGAGGTTTTTCTTTTCAATTACGTATCCGATGGTGGATTTTTAGTGGAGTTGGACAAACAGCTGTTGACTTTCATTTTTATTCTTTTGGGGACAAATTGTTGGACGATTGACATCTGCTATCTCTTCGGGATTTAACGAATTTTTTTGTCGTACAAGTGACCGATTTTTCGGATCAGGCTCTAGATTCAGTTTTAAAAACTTTTCAGAAAATATTTTGGGTTCTGTCGGCAAGGAATTTTTACCCTATGAAGAGAAGCGGAAATTCCGCTATGTGTCATTTCGGTATTCGATGATTTTATTTATTTTTCTTTTCTACTCTATTTTTGGGAATGGGTCAACAGCTGTTGTCAACGCATCAATTTTTATTGTTTTGGGAACGAAAATTACAACTCCCGCACACGATTGACATCTGCTCTTATCTGTCCTCGTGACTCTGGAAGAACATAAATATACAATTTACGGTTTTCTTTATTCAATGCGTGATATAATTCATTAACATAATGATATTATTGACTCAGCATTACACGTGCCGGTGCCCCTATCGTACTTTTTTTGTTAATTCGTTGGGAATAGTAATATGACGATGATCATTGCAGGTACAGAATTATTATATTGTTTCGCGGATAATGATGCGGGTAGCGACGCGTCGCGAATTCTAAATATCGCGCGAGTATTTAATACACGTAAATAATTAAGGGTAATTATTCCGGTCGGTAACAGGATTCTTCCATAGCAACTACCAAAACAACTCTACACTCTTCATTCGCGTACCCAAAAGTGAAATATTTTTGGTGGAACAGGAAGCCCTTGACTGCTGTCACATATCACTACAGAGGATCTCAGAAATATATTATAAATACAAATGAAGTCCCACGAATTTTTCTATATTTTCAATTCCGATTCTACTATTTGATAAAATTCAATATATCTCGAACTGAGATTTCCGGAATTTTCTCTGAGACTTCCCAAATTTTCTCGACATTTCATTACCGGTATAATTTCATCGCGGTATAATTTTTAGTAAAAGAATTCATTGAGAATTCAATGGAAGACCTTAAACAGAAAGATTTTTGTCCATTATAATTCAGCGTCGGTAAAAATTAAGTAAACCGTGAATATTTTCCAAACGAAAAATAAATTGAATAGCTCGCCCGTGGATATCTGTTCCGCGTTTCATCTGTGAAAATGTAGTGAATATTTAATGAGACCAGCGCCCGAGGAATAATGGGAGAGTCCAAATAGTGGGGTGAATAGTATGGAAACGTCGGTTAAAAATTATGTCCTGTAAAAATGTATTTTATCCGCGTTAAATCTTGGGCATTGTTCTTTCCACTCGGGGATTTTTAGTAAACTCGTTTCACTAGATACTTTTTTTATTCACCTTTTTGTCGGGAAACTGAAATATATAAATTAGCGTACAAAGCGCTGACTGCTGTATAAATTCAAATGGTGGGTTGTAGAGTGTGAAATAATGGATATAACGTAATCACTGATGGGTAAAGTGAAAGTTTATTATAATGTTGAATTGTTGGGGATTGGCGGGACAATGAAATTGTACAAAACGCTACAAATAACAAACATCTTCCGTAATTATCTACTCTCGTTCAAATCCGTTCTCTCCACCACGAAAATCTGCATTAGATCTACTCTCATTATATCTTTCATAAACAACATTAATATATTCAATATTCATTCAATATTACTTGATCAACGTATTAAATATATCGAGTGAATAAATATTTCCGCGAATTTTCGGGGTTAAACGAATAAATTACCTCGAATGGATAATTAAACGATGGAAATATAGAAAAAAGTTATCGATCTTCGAATATATTCGTATAAACGATGTATAATTCCTATAGTACAAAAGTTCGAAGCCGTGTGGTTTAGGAGGTGGATACACTCTCCAAGACCGTGGCTGATTTTACAAGTATAATGAGAATTGCGCGCCGCATAACATTAAGTTGGCTGCTTGCTCTGGATTTAGATTAACTGTTTACGCGAGCAGCCGAGATAGAAGAGTCCTAACTATATGGACAACTAAAAGTCAGAGGATAGACGGTCAATGGAATGACTTATTCCCATGGGCTTGATCATCTCCTTTAGAGGCAATCCCCATCTCCAACATTTTCCCCCTGATATCCCATTAATTGGACAACAATAATGCAATCCCCACGAAGCAACGATAGAAATTTCGGGATAAAATATATTACACTCC